GCAAGATATTATGGGATGGATTCATGAATTCTCTCCTAATGCCTTAACACGCACCCCCAACCACTACAAACACTTGTTTATCCCTACTAGTTCAGTTAACTTGCTGCAACTGTACAGAAACTCATAGTGTGCAGTGAAATCAGAGTACGCAACTGCTGTACAGGAGAGGGGCCTGTACAACTGTGCAAGACCGAAGGTGAGGCTGGAGTTCAGCTTTATTATAACTGTAAAACAAAGTAGTTATCTTCTTCCAGGCTGGTCATATCTGATATAGACTATGGGCTGAAGCCCCCACTAACAAAAGGAGTCACTTCTCTGATGACTTATTCAGCCATGTAAGTTTCAGTTTGAGTTACTGTACTCTGTACACTACTTGAGGACTACATAATATTCATATTTATACTTCATATTTTCCCCGATGAAATAAGAAAGATGGGAAATGTTTCAGTCCTTTTACCTATACATTCACTTTAAACATAAACCCCCGTTTTTCTGATCTAAAAAAAAATTTAGTGCTATAGGGGAGTCCCACAATTCCACAGCTACCCAGGTTAACGAAACACCATCCTGATGAATTTGCTATTGTAGTGCAACCAATAACATTCAACTATACAGCCTTTTCGACAGAAATAGAATACAGGAAGCCAAAGACAGGAGAAGGCAGAGCCTGGATCCCAAGGGAGGAAATTCTCATTGTGACCTGCAGACCTACTGTAAGCAGCCACAGGGGACCATAGCCCATCAATGTCCATCCAAAACACCAGAGTTTGGTATTGGGTTCACTAGGCCTTTAAAACAAATCTCCACATTTGTTTTTTTTTTAAAGTGCATATAAAAACAGCTATGCAAGCCATTTTGTAATGGGGTGTAATTAAAAATTACTTTCCCATTCCTATCTGCAGCCACTGTCATTTAACCAGTCAAAAATGTAATGCAATATGGCAACCATGAGGCATTCTGCACACCACTGGCGTACATAATACCCCCAGAACTGTAATTCCCTCCTACTGCGTTTGGCTCACTGATTGCTACAATAAGTTACAAGGAAATATTTAAGAATCCCCTGCACTAAGGGCTATGTCACACCAGCATCAGTGCGTCGCGGACCGATTGTTTTGGGTGGGAGGGGGCATGGCGGTGTATTGAACTCAATGGCACCGCAGCCATGCCCTCCGGCCGCAATGCGATCGGCCGCACATCAGTACCTGCGTTACGGTCCGGTGCAGTCAGAAAAAAGGCTGCATGCACTATTTTTTCTGACTGCACCGGACTGGAACACAGGCACTGATGTGCGGCTGATCGCATTGGTGCTGGAGGGCGTGGCTGTGGTGCCATTGAGTTCAATGCAACGCCACGCCCCCTCCCACCCAAAAAAAGTGAGTCGGACGGAATGTGATCCAGTGTGTTCCAGTTACAATCAGCCCGGAATGCACGGGGGCTGGTGTGAACTAGCCCTCAGAAATGTATTTTTGGTGGCAGGCTTGTCTGTTAAAGGCATGCCGGCATTGCAGCTTTCCTCATCACAGTGATGTGCTCAGGTGGCCATAATAAAACACAGACCCTCCTATTCAGGACTAGGTCTTAGAAGTACATGGTCAAATAGACATTTTTTTTTTCAGAACAGAAAAGGGAAGAAATCTGCAACAAACTTCATTAAAAATCTTTCCAATGTAAATTGGTCACCCAGAGGGATTTGTTTAGTTTTCTTCTAAAACGATGGAGTCACACTTTAAAACAATCATTAAACAGGTCATGTTGAGGAAAATGTTGCCTGAAATGAACTTCTTTAGAACATCAGAGGCACTTAACAACTTTGCAATGGGAAATGTAGAGGCTGCATGGAAAAGTTAGAGGTATTTGGAGCTTAAGATTGAAAACATTTTAATCTCTGGCCAAGTTCATCGGAGTAAGATTGTTATAAAGTGGAATTCTTTTGTGACATGAATGGGGCCTTGTTTGGCTGCAGGGAGAGAGCTGGCTGTAGGCTTTATCACATTATCGCAGACCTATAATGATAATACCCTGACCCTGTCTATATTGCTCCCAAAAAGTGAAACTCAGGCCAAAAAACTCAACACACACACACATACCTACCTACATGACTGATCCTTGACCGCCCAGGAGGTTTTACAACAATGTTTAGAGCCATTTTAATAATTTATATCTTGATATGGCAATGCAGCTTTCTATGTTGATGTTCATCTTCAGCTTATTCCATGGACAACGAGCCAGCATCACCACCTGTCCAGTTAGCAGGGTAGTGATCCAGGTAATAGTAAATGTGAACTAGCAAGAAGTAGAGTGGCTGTGCAATGTGGCAGAGGAAAGACAGGAATAGAGGGGTAATCATCCAATGGGGACACTAGTTCTGGTGACAACCAGGGATTTTATTACTTCCTTTTGTAGCTATGGCGCAGGAAGTTAAAAACAAAATCTGCCCATCGAGACACACGTCAAAAAAGAAACTGACGGGTTATAGCCCTTCCATGCTCTAACCCAAATGAAAAAAGGTTTTCCACTTTAAGGAAGCAAGAAGTCCAAGATGGAGGAATTTCAGCAATGAACTGCTTTAACAGTCAATACTGTTAATAGAAAAGCCACGTACTGCCTGTTCACCATCCACATAGTGTGTTCTGACCAACTTCCAACAAGATCCCTGCCCAGTGCTCACCCACTTCGAATGCATTTCAACCTTACTGGCTTAGTTGAAGAGATTAACAACTAGAGCTAAGCCCGTAAGGGTGAAACGTGTCAGTGTTGGGCCGCCACTGGGCAGGGATCTTCACCATGTTGGAAGCTGGATAGAATGCAGCTGAAACAGGTGAAACTCGATTAGAATATCGTGCAAAGTTCATTTATTTCACTAATGCAACTTAAAAGGTGAAACTAATATATGAGATAGACTCACTACATGCAAAGCAAGATAATTCAAGCCGTGATTTGTCATAATTGTGATGATTATGGCTTACAGCTCATGAAAACCCCAAGAACCCCAAATCCACAACCTCAAAAAAGTAGATTATTACATGCAATCAATAAAACAAGTACAAGCATGCATATGTACTCAGTACTTGGTTTGGGCCCCTTTTGCAGCACTTACTGCAATTACTTTTGCACGATATTCTAATTATTCGAGTTTCACCTGTAGATGGTGAGCAGGCGGTATGTTGCTATTCTTGGCATTGTATTGTTGTGGAGCGTGGACGGATCCTATCCAGCACCTGCATGCACTGGATGGTGGAGACCAATGCTGGATGGAGCAGTGAAGTTTCTCTATGCTTTATTAGTGAGTTACAAAAGGAAAAATATAGGGCTGCAGCTAAGGATTATTTTCATAATCGATTAGTTGCCCGATTATTTTTTCAACTAATCGATTGGTTGCATTAAAAATCTCTCCCCGCAACGAACCGATAATGAAAATAGTTGCCAACTTTTCTCATACTCAATTATTATCAATTTAATCGATTAGCTGTTGCAGCCCTAGAAAAATAAAACACTTTAGGGGACCATCATTATCAGATCTTGCTTAGGTCAGATTCTAGCCCTAAAACAGTAACAAAAGCACAACAATAGCATAAAGCATGATGCATTATATTCCACAGGCACACATGCTGTCTGTGACCACAAAAAAAGGGACTGAACATATGTCCATTTATTTCAAATGCCAAACTTAACCGGAATGTAGATGGGTGTGACCTACATAACAGAATAGACACACTGAGTCTTGAAAATCCTAGAAGTAGAACATTTTAAATTGATTCTATGACACAGAAAGCTGAAGCAACATGCTATTCCACTGAATCCCAGTCTGGACCGCTGGGTTGTTTTTTTTGTAGTTAAAAGCATTCCATAATGTGAACATATTTGTTATAACTACGCTGGATCACACCAAACATACAATTGTTTTCTAATAAAAAGCTTCACTTTTCATTGTTAAAACTCAAACAATTCAGATTATACCAAAGCAGAATCTTTTCCAAATAATACCAGGCAGACACGTGTAAAGCTGCACTCTGGGCAGAGCAAAATTCAATATATTCCTTAATAGTCACCAAGGATATAAATCCACTCAACTCAGATACTGCCATATATAAATAGAAGTCAGACCAGTCACCCTGCACAAGGAGAGAGCAGCAGTGACCAGTCTTTATTACAGGAGGGCATGGAGACTAGACCAGTCACCCTGCACAAGGAGGGAGAGCAGCAGTGACCGGTCTTTATTATAGGAATCTCCTGCACAGGGGTAAAGTTTCACTTTGGATTAGTGCACAGATCTGGAAGAAATACACAAAGAACACCAATATTTAAGAATACACATGCCTCTTGTATTTAGACAATATCTCTTTATATTGTAACTCAGTTTTGCAATGCAACGGACATATTCAAAATCCTAAATTAAATGTATCAAATTAGTAAATACAGAGAGGTCACGAAGCTCTATAAGTGAACTCTAGATGGGCCGAATTGTTCAATTACCAACCTAAAATTATAACTACAAAAAGAACTAAAACGCATATAAAAAGCAGAAAATTACAAGGAAAATCGCAGTGACAAAAAACAGTTCCTATAAATTAGCAAAAACCCCCGTGGAATCCAGATGTCATTGTGCAAACAAAGGACTTCATGGCATCAGTTAGGCTATCCATAGACAAGACTGTGTCCTAAAACATTCCAAGTTGATTATCTTTTGTGAACCTTTGTATGACCGAGGGAAAGAATAGAAATCTGCAATTTCATGCCAATGGGAAGCTTAAGGTTACCTGTCTGAGCTGCCATTTCCAACCAATCAAATCCTTTTATTTTCTCACCCACCTTCATGACCACCAGGTCAACCACCAGACAAGACCCAAGAAATATAAGAAAAATGGCTCATAATATAATCCTCCGCCATCCACCAAAAACACTTTTGCATGCCCTGAATCCGATCATCATAACAAAAGCAAATAAATTATATAAATAAAATGGATTATAAAATGATGGAGAATGCTTTATGTACATACCCCATTTTCAATGCGTTTTTCACCGGTCAGACTATTTCTCTGGTTAGGGGCTTGACGGACGGCTAGAAAGAAACATGGCATTTCTAATTAGTTGTGGAAACATAATGATCTTCGATAACAGTGAATGTGAATGGAAATAATCTCATGCTATCATGGTGCATAAAAGTATCTATTTTTGTTTATTGTATTTCCACTTTTGCAGACAAATTTGAGAAAACACTTACTTTAGATTTGTTACATATTCCCACAGCATACCTTACAAAAGGATTTAAAAATTGTTACCTTTCTACTTGCTGAAAAATCTTAGTCTTCTTTCTCCTGTATTAATGAGGGGGCTGGGGAGTTATGTTTACCATAATTAACCCTGTTTGTACTGTCCTGCCAGTTATGCCAGACAATGTCGTGTTAGCGTGCAATCTGTCCGTTTCATCAGAGCATCAAGTGCAATGGTTACTCTTAGGGCCGATGCAGACCTGAGCAACCCGGGACGCGCGCAATGGCAGACAGCGACATCCACGCAGCAAATCGCAGAAAAAGGGTACAAGTACTTTTTTTTTTGCGATACACAACGCACGGCTGTTCCTATTCGAAAAGTATTTCTATAGGAAGTCAAGGGGTATGAAAGGTCTAAAATAAAACTTTTAATTTGCTCCCTTTTTGTCTGTTCAAGATGAACTCCAGGATTTTTATAAGCTAACCCTTGAAGCGTGGCTACCCCAGCATTGCAAGGGTTAACTGTTCGGTTTGTTTTCTAGGGACGAAAATAAAGAAGAAATACTTATCTGATCCACGGACCTGCGGCAGTGACTGCTCACCTCTCCCTTCCCCTACGCTCCTGCTGGGGTAGCCCCACTGCAAGGGGTAACTTATATATATATATATATATGAGTTTAGATACGCTTTAACATAACAGTGTCTGGCAGCATATGCTGCCAGACACTGACACAGTAAAGATCTGGATTGATTACCACTGTTACCAGTAGTCAGCACAGAAACCCCCAAATTCTGGCTGATTTACAATTTCAGGCAGTGTGCAGAAGCAACTTATGGTAGTCTAGCAGCTCTGCAATTCCCTCTCGGAGCCCATATATGCATCTAGGTATCAATCTTACATTTTATCTTTAACCGAACTAAAATAAATGAGTCCCTACAAAAATAAATAAAGAACATTTAACGACCTATGTAGTCGTTAGTTTTCTTTTTTTACAAAAACATTTAAAATAATTCCTGAAGGCAAAAAAAAAATCTAAACTGACAGTATTCAGTGTGATTTCAGGCAATGTGTTTCAATGACCCGATTTACATAGACAGACGTAACCTTTGCCTGCAGCAAGACAAACGGCGAGCCTTAAAAGTGTGCCACAAGGACCGAGTGCCTTGGCACAAGTCCTGCTATACATCAAGCTTTAAAAGTGACAAGAAAATGGAGAGAGGTGGCAGCCTGCCAGACCACGGAACGGCTCATATTCCTTCCCGTGCGCTAATCTGACGCATGCCGAGCTACCGATCTTACTGCCTGGAAACAGACTGGATTTACAGGAAGCGGGGACTGAAAAAGAACATCCCCATACTAAAATAAAATAAAAAAATCTCACAAAATAAGTCCATTGAATTAGCCAATAGTTTAAAAGGAAAACATAATGGTTTGGGTCTATATAAAAAATTTATTCTTTTATAGTTTTTACTTAAGTTCATACTTTTATACCCCGATTATAATATATAATATATATGTCAGTGTAAAAAATACAAAAAAAAGTATAACAATTTAAAATAGACCCAAACCATGGATAGATAATTACATAATTATATTATATTATATATATACACACACACACACACACACATCGGACGAAACTTTTCGTATATACATATATACATATA